AGAGGAGAGAATCAAGCCTGGAACAAGGAAGGACTATGGAATCCAGTGTTCATCCACCTTGAGCTTATGTTGGAAGGTAAAAGTCATCACCTTGCTCATCATATTGTTTAGATCTTGTTGATAGGAAGCTTTTAGGGTTATTTCCATATTTTATTGAGATTTTGAGTGACCTGAGGTTGCTAAGTGTTGAGACATCAGATCTAGACCTTGTGGGGTCCCTAGAGTCAAAAGTTCGCAAATTTATTAAGCTATAGAAGATCCTATATGCTTAAAACCCTAAATGAGATTATTTTGGCATTTCAAGCCCTAAGTGCCATGCATGGACGTAAAGATTGTAGCTTTGCATGGTATCTCAACCTTAGGAGGCTAGATCTAGAGTTTGGAATTGTAGATCTGCCTTAAAACGTTTGAATGAAAATAAAGATTGAGTGGACTCGCCGAGTCGATGAGCTGACTCGACAACTTGGCTAGGGTTTTCCTCGATGAATCTGGACATGGGTAACTCGACGAGTTGACGAGACAACTCGAAGAGTTAAGTTGGATTTTCACGAAATTTCTGAGGAAACGAGGGGAGTCAGTGAGTCTCACAGATGTACTTGGCGAGTCAGGTCAATATGGACTGTTGACTCGAGTGTTGACTTTTGTTGTCTTTGAGGTCTGGTCAAGACAGGGATTATGGTGACCATGGATGGGTAAAATTGTCTTTTACCCATCCCAAGAGTTTGAGAGAGAAAATAACTTAGTTTATTTAGAGTCATGATTTAAGTGTTAATTAGAGATAAATATCCTATATGTTAGGTGCAAGCTAGTTTGGAGATTCGTGAACGAGGTTTATTTGCTTGCTTAGTTACAAGGTGACTCTTCTCACTAGATTTACATAGAGTGGTAATCTTTGTGTGACTAGAGGGTCTTATATGCTTATATTGAGTATTGTGATATCCTGAATTATCTCTTTGTGATTTGAGCTGTGTTTTATATTGAGCTTACTTAGTTAGGATAGGAAGGTCCACCGAGTTGTGGGACCGGAGGGTCCCACTTAGACACATTGACCGGAGGGTCTTATCCGAGCATAGCCATGAGAGGCTAGTGAGATATGTGTGGTATTTTAGGAAACTAAATAAGCTTTGTGCTTACCATGTTATGTGATATGTGTTTCAAGTACTTATTAGGATCACGGTAAGGCATCGGCTTGATTATACACATGAGATGGAGATATGTTTTGAGGATCCTGGATTATATTTTTAAACAACTTATGCACATGTGTTTTTGATAATTCGATATTTTGGGAATTTTGAGATTATGTTAATCAGATTAATGTGATTTGTGTTGTGTATTATATTGAGCTAATTGAGTTAGGACCGGAGGGTCCACTCGAGTTGTGGGACCGGAGGGTGCCACTGAGACACATTGACCGGAGGGTCTTATTCGAGCATATCCATGAGAGGCTAATGAGATATGTGTGGTATTTTGGGGAACTCACTAAACTCCATGCTTACTGTGTTATGTGTTATGTTCTTTAGGTACTTCTTAGGATCACGGGAAAGCACCGAATTAATTGTACACACGAGATGGAGATATGTTTTAAGCATCCTGGATTATGTTTTCAAAAAACTTATGCACATGTATTTTGGAAAATCCGATATTTTGGGAATTTTGAGATTGTGTTAATGAGATTAATGTGATTTTTAAATGAAATTTTTCTTTGAAAATTTACGTTGTTATACTATATTAACTGAGAAATAATATTATTTAATTAATATTGATCAGGAATTAATGTGGAACTAATTTAGTGATTAAAAGAAGCTAATTAAAATTAAGGGGACTGATATTGCAAATCATTGATAGTTGCAGGCATGGCTGATGGACTCTTTAAAGAAGGAGTGGACGAAATCTATCGGAAGTGCATAGAGATTTCGTCCAAGGGGACTTCTAGAGGGTGTCAATGGATTGCTTAAGGCTTAAGCAAAGAATTCAGGTTTCCACTTAAAATTTTATCTGCTCAATTATATAAGGAAGCCTTGTCTTACAGCTTTCGGCCCTATACATTCTTAGAGAACCCTAGCCGAAATCAAGTAGCCTCCATTACCTCTCTCTCTGTCATCCTTTGCTAAGTGGTGTTTGTGACTCCATTAGAGGTGCAACACTTGGGGCACTAAGTTCTTGAAAGTCAAGATGGAGCTATTAACAAGAAAGGTATTCTTCTAAACTCCAATATGATTAGATTTCATTTTTCTTTTATGCTAGATTAGGGTTTTCCTATGGAAAATTAATTTTCATGTATAACTTGAGAGAAACCTAGATCCAAAGCAATTAGGGTTACATGTACAAATAGGAATGTTGTAATGCATAAAAACGCATCAGTGGTATCAGAGGTTAGGGTGTTTTTATGTTATATTTGATGCAATTGTAATTGTTCAAAGCTGGATCAAAAATCATTTTTTGCTAACTGTGTGCTAAACTCGATGAGTTATGTGATGAACTCGAGGAGTTGGACCAACTCAACTTGTCCATGCCCTAACATGACGAGTTGGTTCATCTGTTCGCAGATTTTTCAAATTTCAAGCCTAAATTAGATAAGGATAATTGCCTAAAATTTTTAAACTATTTAAAACCGAATTTTCTTATATGGTTAATGGATATCCTCATCTAATTTAAAGATAATGGTCCAATTTTAAGATAATGTTCAAAATTATATGATTCGTTTAATTATTTAAAATTTGATCTAGAAAGTTTTGAGAAGTTTCAAAATTTTACCTAAAGTTTTAGAATTTAAAATTTAATTAAAAGTTTAATTTTAAAATATTATATTCTAAAACCCTACTATTTTAAAATTTTAAAATACAACCCCTATACTATCATAATATTAATATATATATATATATATATATATATATATATATATATATATATAAGATCAGTCAGTCTTACCGTTAGTATGCCTCATTCACGAAAGCGATCTATAAGGGGGTGGTATATGGAAACTGCCTATAAAATGGCAATTGAATGGGTGTCAACTCTCACCCACCGCTTCCTTGATTGGTGGATGGTCGTTAGCCGAACGGTTAGGATAGGACATTAATTCCTCATTAATAAGTATAATGGGAATTATAAAGTAAGTAAATATTTTTATAAATTCTCAATCTTAGTTACTTTAGGAAAATGTCAAAATGATGCTAGTCCATGAAATGTCACTTTGCGCCTTGTCAAGTAGTTAGTGGAGCGTTTGTGGTTAACCGGCACACTAACTTGGACGAACAAAGGTGACAAAGGGTAGCTCGAGAGTTATCATAGATCAATGGAGCGTATGTGGCTAACCGACACATTGATTATGCGTTAAATGAATTCAAGCGTGTCAAGCTAATTTGCATGGTTATTCACGCCTTGTTTGTGATCCTCGGTATCCCATTCACAAACTTGAAGGGCATAATCGAGATTAAACATGTCATTGAAGAGTTAAATGAATAACAAAAGAATCTAGGAATTTCATTTCATTTAAATTCTAATTCCTCATTTCGTTTTTCATGGTGGAATTGGTACATCATAGTTTATCTTTCTTCAAGCATCAACTTTTATGGAAACAAATGCAATGACTAAATTAGTGAGAAAATATCCATATTCCCTTCCAATATAATTGTAATTTGTGATTTTATTCTAATAGAATTGGAATTCATTTACCAATAATTATATTAATTTGGGGAATTCTAACATAATATGTTCATGATTATCATAATAAACATTCTTTTCTGATAGAATACTATAAACGAAGAAATATCATTCACTTGAAGCATTTTAGCGAGCGCTTGGTGTCCATCAAAACATCTTTCAATTTCTTGTAAAAATTAGACAATCAGGACAAATTCCCAATTCACGAAAAATATTACACCTTGAAATAATTAGACAATAAACATAAACACATCCAAAATTTCTCTGATTTCTGTCAAACAAGCAACCCAAAACATCCATTCTATATATTAAAATCAAATCAAATTAAGAAAACCCATTTGAAGATTAAACTTCATTGGTTTACAGTAAATCAATCTAAAGTACACCTGCAAACAAGAACACATTAGTGTTCCTTTCCTTCCCTGTCAAACACCTAATCCAAACACCCATTGGTTTCTATCAAATGAAACAAACCCAAACACCCCAATGATTTCTATCTAACAGTCAAACAAAAAGGGAAGAGAACTTGTTACTGATCGGAGCAACACCCCTTACAACCCGTCTTCTTCTTCCGTCGAGCAAACCCACTGAGGACCTCGACTTCTTCACTTCTGCTGATCGCGACACCCCACCATTTTCCTTCGTCCCTTCAACTTCGTAAAACCACAGAGACGACCTCCTTTGTTGCCGATTGACATCGCTCCTTCTATATTCGCATCTTTGATTATGAGGAGAAAGAGTGAAATCTCACTTATTGATTTGTTTGATTATTTATTTATTTTTTAAATTTTGATTGATCCACATTTATACATACAATAACACAATAATTCCTTTAAACACACACACACACAAACATATATATATATATATATATATATATATATATATATATATATATATATATATATATATATATATATATATATATATATATATAAAAGCAACATCATACCTTTTTCAATCCATGGGGACCGACCCTAAAATTTTATCTTTAAATTATAAGTTCAATGCGTCATCAACTTTTGAAATACGATTGATGCATTTAATATTTACAACATAATGAAACCAAGCGGACTAATATATATCATTTCCATGGTCATATTGTGAACAACAAAATATATTTTTATTTATTATTTATTTAGAAAAATCATATTAAGCAAGAAATATCTAGAGCAAATTTGGGATATTATCTTCATTATTATTCTGATAAAATTTAGAAAAGCAAGTGTAGATGTACAACAAGACCCACCCAAATCAATGCCAACACACAAATGACTAAAGTTCTCTCCTACGATTCAAGCACGAAACAACCAAAAACAAATCTAAACCCCTCAACATCATGATTTACATTGTTCGTATGCTTTGCATTTCCGGCCAATGACGTTATATTTTTCTCCAGCACAATTGTTACCACATGCCGAATTACCCCGTTGCAGACTACCATAAGTGACACTATTAGAATGTGTGGTCTGCAGAATCCGCCGATGTTCTTCTGTATCCATCAGAAACTCTTGCTCCTCGTCCTCAATAACCAGGCACTCTGCCGCAGTGTTGCCTTTGCACGTCACCATAGATCCGTCACAGTCTTGGATGATCATCGTCATCATCAAGAGGACTGATATTGATAAGATGGTTATAGTGAAGCGGATTGGGTTTCGCCCTTTGAACATCTTTGGTTCCTTGTGATGAATTAGGGTTTTGAGGGTGCTTTATCGTTGCTTATATTGAAGTCGTTAATGGCGCTTTGATTGGAGTTGGGTTGTTGGAAAATATCGACATGTTACAACCAGCGACTTTTAGGTATGGCTGTTTGCGGATGATTGAACAACCGGGTCACGGGTTTTTGGAAGCTTGTGACGAGGGGTTTAGATTCTATGCCACTCGTTATCTAATCACAAAAATACAAAATTTGGGTACATAAATTAATGTAAATTATGTCTTGATTGATTCTAAAATAATTTTAGATAAAAATCTATAAAAAAGTTCTAAAATTTTAGTTTAATTTATGAAAAAATATCAAACTAATTTTTATTACAGAAAAACACAGAATACCGGCTAAAACTTTGAAAAAACATTTTTGGCAAGTTTCGTAGATTTAACTGGTATTCTGTTATTTTTCGTTATTTTGTTCAAAATATTCGAAATTTTTTTAAAATAACCCAATAACCAAAATATTGATAATTTTTTTGAAAATTACTATGGAATTAGTAGGTACTATTATTAACAAATCATTTATAAACATGAAAAATATTTTTTATTATAAGCAAATGAAATACATTTATTGCTAATTATATATATATATATATATATATATATATATATATATATATATATATATATATACTAATTTACAAGTGTCACATGAATAATTCTTGTTTCTGATTGGCTGAAGTTTTTTTTTTTGTTTTTTTGTGATTTTCCCTTTGCTTTGCTGTAAGCACAAATTTTTTAATGTGTTGGGGCTTTTCTCTTTCCTGCTATCTTCAATCCATATGTTTTGATACATGTTCTGCACCGCTATCACCCTCTAAGGCTGATGGGTGTGGAGTGTGGTACCAAACTACGAGTGTGCCACATTAACCGCAAACACCGCCCCCAGGGTGCGGTCTCGTGCGGTTTTGGCTGCACTGCAGCTAGAAATGGCTTCCCTCTCTTTCTTCTCTCTCTTTATTTATGTGTCTTTCTCTCTCTTCTTCTTTCTTTCACCTCTCTCTTTCTCTATCATAGTTTGCATGGTTTCCACTTCCTGGGTGTGGCAAAGAACAATACTTTATGTGGTAAAAATGACGTGGCTCCTATGTGTCAAAGGAGGGAGTGTGGTTCCTGTGGCACTGCTCTATCAGCCTAATAGATACACTACACTATATATTCATACATAGTTTATCTAGATGCTTCCCAACCGACCGTATGCTCCCTCCATCCTCATAAACTCTTTCAGATCATTCCACCTTTTCTACCTTCCTCTACACAACCGCCTCACTACTCCATCCTTAAACAGGTTATGAAACTCGACAAATATATCAAGAAACTCAAGACCGATGCCCTAATCTACTCATTAATATGATATTCTCTCTTCACTGTCCCAATTCTCCATCTGAAATATAGCCCCGGCCTCTTTCTTAGGGTTTCTGATTTCTCCTAAAATTCTGCTTTGGGTCGCTCTGCCATTGATGCAATCTCTCTCCTCTTCAACTCCTCAACGTTGGGTACGTTCATATATATTCGGTATAGCTTCCGCTTCCAAATCTATTTATTTTATAAGCATGCAGAGCAAATTATTCTACATTTCAGATGCTCGATCTCATTGCTCTAACAAGCTTTATATATCATTCTTTATATGTGTATATTGTTTCTTATCGATAAGATGTACTCTTAAAATCTTATGAAATGACTTGCATCTATTTATATTATAAACATGAATCCTGGACCTTTTGCATATGTTTTTCATTTAATATGAAAACGTATTTAAATTCACATTTTTTATACGAGCTGCATATACAAATGCTATATCATATTTTTTAATTGTACTCATGCTTGATGCTTATGAAGATATTCAAGCAGAGACAAGTGGCGATAATGTCCCACCTCCTGTGAACACTTTCTCTAAGATTGATTTAGGGAAAGCTTTAAATTTAAACATTAGGAGGTGCAGGTATATGATGCCAACTCTTGTTCAAAGACATGCCATTCAAATCTCTCTTGGTAGAAGGGGTTTAATGGTTTGTGCTCAAACAGGGTCTGGAAAGACAACTACTTTTTTTCCGATCATTAGTGGAATAATGGAAGGGTAATTTGGTGAAAGAGCTTCTTATTGCTTCGTCTAAATGATTCTACCTTCTTATGTTTGTATCCTTGATTATCTATAATGTTTTAGACTATACGGTAATCCATGGAGGCATTATATAATTGAACTTCGTTTCTATCTATGATGCATTGTAACAGACTATATGGTAATGCATATTTGAGTTTATTCAATAAATTAAGAAACTGCAGGAAAATTAACTTTCTTTGTATGTTAATTTTTTTTCTATTTTCCTATTAATCAGATGAAAAGTGGTGAGATAGTTGTGAGATTTAGGCTTTTATACTAGATTTTAACTTCTAAAAGATCGGATTGCTTTCTGATTTAAACAACAGTCATTCCAGTTCATAATGTACCGATTCCTACCTCTAAACTTTAAGCCATTGAAATGAAGTCTAGCTGATCAATAAGATGCATATTTTTTTACTACAAATTTGGTTAATCCCATGTGGTTTTGTGTTTTTATAACTATTAACAGAAGTTACATTATAAAACAAATATGACAGAAGCATCATAGTCCGAAAGTGTAAATGATTGGTGGAAAGGTCTGGTTTGAATTTATTATGTTTTTGTCTGAATAACACTATCAAACTTTTTTATTATATTTTGCAATAACAACCCCTTTATTATGAGTTATGTAATTTCTTACTATTTTTAAAAGAAACCTTAAATATACAAAGACAAAAGTTTAATTTTAATAAAACAAAGTTTTTTAAATAAAATTTTCATATTTGTCTCCACTTGCCTTTTTCTTTTGATTTTCTTTATATTGTGTTTTATGTAGGTTGTGGACATTGAAGGTATTGGTTCTTTTTAGTAAAATCAATGTCCAGTTTTTTTATAGCATCCTACTTACTCCAAAAAATGCAAAGTACAAAGTCAATTTTATATCATCCAACGTTGAAGATATTGGTTCTTTTTTATTAATTAATATATGTTAAGTATTAAATCTTACTACAATTGATGGACTAGTTCCTCCAAACAATTGCCACAAGGCCAACACACATGAACTATGTAATCTCAAAGGGTTGTTAGAAAAGTTAAAAACAAATCTGGATAAGGGATTTCATGATGATAAGTAAGACATATAGGAGAGGAAAACTGTTTTTGGCTCAAAAACATAAACACGAAATCAGGATAGATGCTTTTGGGTATATGTGTTATATGAATTTGTATTTTATTTATTTATTATTATTTTTTGCATATTTTGTTTGGATATTCTATAATTTAAAGTTGTGTGCTATTGATTTTATAGAGGTTTTTGGTTATTTTTATGGTAGCTGCAACTGCTTCTTTCACATTGCTTATAAAGACAGATGTAAGGAAAAGTAAGTTGATTATTCTTTGATAAATTATGATGACAATTGCCATATGCTTCAGGTTCTTCACAAGGTATTCAAATTCAAAGAGTATGAACATGGTCAACAACAATCTTCTTATCTTCTTATATTGAGTCAACTTGAAGCAAATACGTAAAGATGAAACTACTGATGAATTCACCTCATCAAACAATTATTTTGTCCAACAACCTGTTCTGTAATTCACTCATATATTAATATATTTTATTGAGTTGCATATTATATATATATATATATATATATCATAAAGGGGTTGTTTTGTTTTTTATTCCCAGTAATCAGTGATGAACGCACCTTTTTCTTCTAAAAAGAGAAAAGGGTTACATCTTATTTTCTTCCTTATCATCACTATTTCTGAATTGTATGTTGAAAAGGGATTACAAAAAGGAGTACAAGTTTTAAAACTACATTAAAGAGTAGTGGAAAGTAATAGCAACATATTTTGTACTGATTATTTCTGAGTTCTGAAAACTACCAGCCACCACCATAGAGAGGCCGACTGTCAAGTTGTTGTAACATAAGGAAATGAAAGGTGTTAAAATTTAACCATTGAACCCTTCCCTCTGTATTGTATGCAATTTACATTAGCCATCTCCGTCAATGATGTACAACCAAAAAATTACCTTCGAGTATACACTATAACATTGTATTTTGTTTCATTTCAGAAATAGTAGAATCCAAATCCAACCCCATAAAGCGGGCATTCTTCACTAGCTTCTAGGAATAGAATGGTCAACTATGTACTTATCTATTGTTTGTTGACAACTCAAAGTCCTTATGTTCTTCTTATGTATCTTTGTGGGTGTCATAGTGAGAATTACTCTGTTAGGCGTGACCAATACAAGAGTTGATAACATTTATTATTACACAATCAATAAGTGTCTACTTGTTCTTACACATGATACTATATGATTATATGTTATTAGAAAATATCGTTACACGAACATATAGATCTTTCATTATGTTGTTTAACCTAACAACCACTTAACCTCTAAACATTACCCGGTAACCATAAAATTACACACATCTATCGAGAGTGAAAAGTAAACTTTGAATGACAATTTAAATAGATAATCACCCTTCACTTGTTTCCATATAAACTATCATTCGCTCTTCACTTTTCACATTTTATAGATGTAATATCCCGTTTATTAAATAAATAAATAAATAAATTAATGAATAGTAGCCCTAAAATCAATAATTATATAACAAAGTATTGGTCTCGTGGAGCTAACTGTCACAATTTTAGATGTCGGGAGTTAAAATTGTTAGTTTTAGATTGGTTTCGTAAATAATTATGAAGGCAGGGACTACCTGATAAACTATTGGGACTTAATTTGACGACGTTGCTGCCGGTGTATGTGTCCTCAGTCTCTCAGTATCATCGTCGCTCCAATCTTCGATGAGGTTCACGAACGTCTCTCCACTGCTACTACTGCTTTGTTCGGTGGGTTTCACACCTCCATTTTCTTTCTTTAATTATTTCCGACGTCGCATTGCTACTGCCGTC